ATTATACAGCATCCATAGACTTCCTGAGGGTCAGAATAAGTCACTGACCTAGAACGACCCGGGCCAACACCTTGTTTTTAGGAACATACTGCCTAGCGTAATCTATGTCGCGTATCCAAATGCAAAACGCAAATCGGTCCTGTATGATTTTTACCATTATGACCTTTAAAAGATCAAACGAGGTCACTGACCCTAGATGAGCGTGTGATCTTTTACTTGGAACAGTTTCCTAGGTTCCAGGGGCCCTTTGCAGAACAACCTGGAGTTTGACTTTGTTTGACCTTATTTGGCCCAAAGGCCATAACCTAAGAGCCTCAAGCTGTGACCTAAGTGAGATCATGTACAGGTCAATACACCCTGTGAGTTTGGTGTCTCTAGCTCTCTTAGTTCTTGAGATTTCAGGGAGGTCAAATTGACTCTCCCCACCCGAGCGAAGGGCGTCCCACCGGCCACCGGGCGCGTGTTAACATTGAATGTAACCGTCGCCGCCTTTTCAATGGTTGCACACTCCAGTACTTCCCTTCCATTGAGCTGACCGCTCGTTTATACGCATCACCGGTTTGAAGTAATCCACATCTGGACCGCAGTTAGAAACGTTTCGTAACCGTAAGGGTGATAATCCTCTGTGACGTTCGTAAAAGTCGTCCTTATTGGATGTAAAACATGATATGAATATACGGGCTGGTGTTGGAATATTTGACCAGCCACAGCCGTTTTAACCACGGATATGGCTAGGATACATACTAGCCAACGTCTGGAGACATATTATGGGAGAGATTGGCTTAGAAGCATGAGAAAAAACGATCATTATATCATTTTTTTACCTCTGCCTTGAACAAATGTTTCAATATCTATGGGTTGCATGCACATGATACTCTAATCACCCACTAATCCGGCTTTGAACTCCAGGCACGGAAGACAAAGTCATTGAATGTGCGCGGTCAATATACGCGAAAATCGTCAAGTGGTCTTTTGGAGTTTTAATTGTTTCGTACCAGTTATGCAGCAATGCGATCCTACCGATGAGAGGAAAACTTCATTATGGTATAAATTGGAACTAGAGGCCTCGTAGTGAAAACAAATCATGCGACGAATATATTGTCTCCTGCAAGAGGATTGCTATGATAGGGCAGACTGTCCCCTGCGATCCGGCAATAGAGGGGGACGCGTCCCTTATCCTCCTCCCCCCTCCCCTGATGTCCCCGTCCCTGGTCATTGGTGGCCGATGCCGGGCCTAAACCAGGCCGTCTCATTATAGCCTCTGTACCAGCCATGATCGGGCAAGCCTAAACCAGGCCGTCTCATTATGGCCTCTTTCCCAGCCATGATCGAGCAAGTGTCTTTCGCGCTGAACAAGGAAGGGCGAATGCCAGTCAAATAGACTACCAGTTTTGCCAGTTTTGAACTGGATATCCCACACAAAGGCTCGTGGCACCACCACACGACATGGGGAGATCGCACGTGGTGGAATCTCATCTACCCGGCCATGAACAGAAACAGCGCTGAGTCACTATCTCTTCCCCTCATTCAGCTGGCTCCCGACGAAAAGGCGACAATGTACTGGAAAGGATCGTGGCCTACGACGAAATATAGGCTCGCCCGTGGGAGCAAAAAAAAAACAAAAACAAAAAACGGCAAAACAGGACGTATAAAGGGCCCGAGTAACCGCGACTAATGGACCGGAGAAACAAGTGGAACCTTTCCGCCTCTGGACCGATTTGATCAAAGTGACGGTGATAAATCTTCTGAGAAGTGCGAATTCAAACGTGATTTATGCCTCGGTTATCTCCATGCATTGTAAAGCTCGGAGAAGATTAATGAGATCCTAATGGGTACGGTCAGGCTGACTGCTCTGACCGTATCCACTCGGCAGTTGACGCTGTAACTATTGCTGGGGGGTGGAGAGGCAATGGTGAATGCTGCGGGTGCAAGTGGCGATGTGCCAGCTGCGACGAAGGCGTGGTCTTGAAACGACACAGACTCACAAGGCTTGGCGCATTACAGGAGACAGTCGTACAGGTGCAGAAATGACTAGGCCACGCGATAACGTCGCCGGCACACTCTGAGTTGTCAGGGCACCTGCGATGTACCGTTGGGATATAACACCAGTTCACTCCAAGAACACTCAATAGCATTCCATGCTATGGACACAGCTGTAAGGCAATGTCTATCTTCTGGTATTTAACCGGCTCGCGACGGGGGTATATTTAAACACCATCACCATAACACATATACGTCATCGTTCTTTGAGCGCTTCCTTTTTACATCGTATCGAATTACCGAAACAGTAGAAAACATTTATAACTCAATTACTCCAAAGCTGTGGCGGCCAAGCCCTCAGAACGTTCAGTCTATTTTACCAAGCAGCGACCTTTGAAACCTGCCGTACCATCAAGTTCCTTCTATGTATTTCGTTACAAATCGGGTGTTTTTTCTTTAGCATTAATTCCTTGACATGATTTGTGGAATATTACCAAGCAGTAATCAAGCGAGGAGCCATGCGCAGCGGAAGATGCATTCACAACGCGCTATAAAAAGCACCAGGTAAACCGACAGAGCCTTCAAAAGATCACCATGCAGCTACTGTCAAGTAAACGCTGAGATCATCGAGGACATGGGCCGCAGACCAATGCTCTAATTTGATACAAGCCTGCTAGCGAAGGGTACGCTGACGCTGCAAAGTGTTGTGAGCATAAACGAAACGTTGGACGACTTCTGTCCCATGCATAGTGGTTTATCGGGCAGCACTGTACCACATGACTGTCACTCGCCGGCAAATTCGGCTACGGTATTCCTCTATCGGATAGGTTTCAAACAATACTTTAACAGTTATCAGGAGGCAGTTTCTAACCTTTGGACGCCATGAAAGCCGGATGTTATGGACTTTGAATGTTGCTATTTAGGATGACACGAGCTTGGACGCTGCGATTCTCCTTTGTCCAGGGAATTTGTACGCTTTTGAATGTTATGAACGATAAATGCTGCGACTTTAAACGTTATGAACTCTGGATGTTTCAATGGGCATCCCCGACGTACACCTCCGGTCGAGCCCCTCCCGCCCGGGCCGCGGCCGCACAGTGACCGGGCGGGCTGACGACGGCGCACCCGGCCCGAGCAGCCCCTGGGCACCACCGCCGCTGGTGTTGGCAGTCGGCGACGAATTCGCAATCTCACTGACCCACGGACGCCGATGGAGGTTCGCGGTCGCGGACGGCCACCTCGGTGGCGGTGTCGGCAACAGTGAACCGCGGCGCAGCAGCGGCACCAGAAATCCATGCCACTTGCCGTGGTGCCCAAGAACGCAGCTCAAACACTGCTCAGTGGAGTAGCTATATTGTCATTCGTCGGCCAACACCTCCCTGCACCGTGGCTGGCCGTGGACAGAGCCAGCCACTACGCCGTGCCTAACGACGGCGCATCGCGTGAAGCAAGCACAACGCTCATAAACAACACAAGGCTAGTTGTGATTGCACGAAACGCACCTATCGCCAACCACGCCACGATTACCAACACAGCGAGCATGCTACAAAACATATCCGGACCACGGTAGGGAACCCAGTCCGCCACCACCCTCCACCGCGTTAGACTTGACGTGCCGCGCAGCGCTGCAGACACTGCTGTATCGCCCAACACACCAGCTAACGTGCGCCTGTGCTGCCGGCCGGCACCAGTCAGCCAAGCGAGGAATTCATCGCTCAAAGGAGTGGTCTGGCAAAATATTGCAACAAAAAGGAAACACAACACCTCCAGTTTCTTAGACCATAGAGTTTTGGCGGATTTCAGCACGCCAACAGCTGCATGGCGGCTGTTGGCCGTCATGCAGCCAACAGGCGTCCATGTCCAAAGTCCAGAAAAAATACTTAACTCCGTTCAACTTCCATGGAAGCCAGGGACAGCTTACGCGTAACATTCCTTCTTGAAGATAGATCCTCTCAAAAAGCATGCGCTTAAGGAACCGGCATCTGCGCCGCTTACACTGTCCGGCTACATCCTTAAGGAACCGGCATCTGCGCCGTTTACACTGTCCGGCTACATCCCAGAAATAGAACCAGCGCAACGAGCAGTTCAAAAATGTTTCGCCGTCAGTATTTCTGCCCATTCAGCTCAGAAGTGGACGGACTCAGGGGTGTGGCAAAAATAGCTCGCACCAACTACTCACCGCGAGTTTGGGGATGAGCACTTACTTGATGCACCAGGTGGTATTCATTACCACGGAAAAGCGCATCTACCCTGCGATGCGCAAGGCTAAAGCTCATAAGCAAACGAAGACGAATAGACTAAAGCAATCATGAATAGCAAGGATGTGCAGCGTTTTTTTAGACGTCTTCTCGCAGCAATGCACCTGAATACAGATATGAAGTGCAGCCATGGTGCCATCACGGCTGTACTACGCGTGCGTCTTTGGCTAGAGCTGTTCTTTTAGTGGCTGTGATTGCGAAGCTTGGCGAAGTCAGATGGTCGCCCCGCAAAAAGTGGAGGCGAACGACACAGATCTCCCTTTTTCAACAGCAACAGCAACAGCAACGGCGCGTGCATGCTTGTAAATGCATGGCATTACACACGCGCACTACACCAATAATTTTCATCCATTCGCATGATGAACAACCAAACAAAGAGAGCAAGTACTTTGAGCCTAGTTATCACAGCTGGTTTTTTTTTTAAAGATTTGACCTGCGCGGTCCTTTTGTTTCAACCGGCAACAATCCACACGCCTCTGATTGGACCAGTCTCGTGAGCATCACTCTCAGGGCATTAATAGCGGATCTCGCAATCGTTATGAAATTGTTAAGCTTGAAATTAATCGGCACAATACAAATATGAAATTATGACGTGCATTGTTCATGGATCGGTTTATCTACAAGAATGCCAAAGGCTATACCCCACAACAAAGTGTGATTAAGTTCGATTTAATGCCGAATTCAAGGGGTGTGAGCGCACCAGGCGCGTTCCCGCTCCAGTTTCACCATCCGATAATAAGCCTCTCAAAATCAGTGCTGCATATTGGCATAATAGCCCCAGGGGCCTCGGGCAAAACCACCAAAGCCCCTGCTTGCCATCCAGAAAAAGTGCACGAATTATACGTATCCTGCTCACACACTCCGTGTCCACTACGACGGTACAAAAAACAAAACAAACAATATTACGGCCGCGGCGCCACGCACTGGGCACGAACGGTCGAAAGAAACGCCGCGTGCAAACAAAATCAAACTGGGATCGTCGTAAATATGACGTCAATGGCTACTGCATAAATCTTAACATAAATAGTTCAGATCTTGCCTTTGTTTGCTACCTGTGGTTTTTTCACAGTCAAGCATATGCGAAGAAACAGTATGACAGCGACTGGCAGTGCCCAGTTTACGCGATAATCCAAAATCCGACTGATCACCATGATCCTAATGTCGTCCTCTCCCATGCTCGGGCAGTGGCCTTGGATTGGTCCAACTGCCAGGCACCGGATGACGTCATTTAGTCCCGCCCCTTCAGCCAGCCGAGCACCTTCGGTGTGTAGTAGGAGATGATGACGTCAGCACCTGGACAGATCGCGAGAAAACATGAGGCGGTTAAGACAGACAATGAAGTGACATGAGCTTGAACGTGAATATCTCGACCGTGACCCGACACATTTCGGTAACTGTCGTTTAGACAACGTGACACTCTTATGCACATAACATCGGCAAACACATGCGTTACGAAGGACTTGCCACTGAAGATGCTAGAACAGCAGGCATAGTGACATCAAATACGACAGCTGCAGTGTACTAAAATGTTCCTCCATACCAGCTCCCTAATATTTTGGTTGCCAGAGCGTACAATAAAAAGACACTCAAGTGCTAACGCGTCAAAAAATCTCCTTGTCCGTGTCAGCTACGGACGGAAGCTACGAACGAAAATAAAAACGAGAAAGGCGCGTTGATCGTAAAAGTCACGGAGGAGTCTGTAAGTTGTTAGCCTCCAACTTAGAGGACATCGCAGCCCGGCGCCCGCCGCGTGCCGCATCAGACCCAAGGCGATCTCCCCGGCGGCGCGGGCGTCTGCGGGGCCCTTAGCCGGCCTCACCTGCGCGCCGCATCGACATCAGCGACTCCATCAGCACCACCTTCAGGTCGACGGCGCCCTGGCTGGCCGCGTGGTGCAGCATGGCATACTCCCCGGACACCTGAGTGCGCGGGCGGAGCGGGGTCAGGAGAGCGGGCCAGCCGGGGCGAGAGACGGCAGCGCGGGGGCTAGGAGACGGCGGCAAGCGGGTCAGGTGACGGCGGCGCGGGGACTAAGAGACGGCGGCAAGGGGGTCAGGAGATGGCGGAGCTGACCGGCCGACAGTACAGGGGTTAGGAGACGGCGGCGCGGGCGTTAGGAGACGGCGGCGAGGGGGTCACGTAACGGCGGCAAGGGGTTAGGAGGCGGCGGCGCATGGGTCAGGAGACGGCGGAGCTGGCTGGCCGGCGGTACAAGGGTTAGGAGACGGCGGCGCATGAGTCAAGAGACAGCGGGGCGGACCGGGCGGCGGCGCAGGAGTCAGGAGATAGCGGCATGGGGATCAGGTGACGGCGGCGCGGGGGCCAGGAGACGATGGCGCGGTGGTCAGGAAATGGTGGCGAGGGTGTCAGGAGACGGCGGTGAGAGGCGGGAGGCGGCAGCGCGGGAGTCAGAAGACGGCGGCGAAGGCCAGACGGGTCCGGCCACACACGGCACGGACGAAACCGCGCCCTTCCACGCCCGTAGAAGCATGTCACACAAGCGTCAGGTGAGATCGCAACGAACAAATCGTCACACCCCAGCGCTGCGGGTAATAACAGACACGATAACCGGATGAAGACTGGGGACAAATCTTTGGTGCCAATCTGCAGCAGTGCCCTCTGTGGTGAATCCACCAGCGACACGACAGCTCGTCGTGCCCGCAGGAGCTGTATTGTCCCGACGCTAGTGTTCGATTGACTTCGCCCACCCATAATCACCTGATATATGAAGAGAGGGTACTGCGGAAACTGATCTTTGGTCTGGCGCACGATGTCCAGGTATGCCATGCCCGGCTTCACCATCAGCATGTCAGCGCCCTCGGCTACGTCCCGCGCCTGGCGACAGGTCAAGACAGGTCAGACGCACAAGTCAGGTACAGAGTGGTCAGGCGTACGCACCGGCTGCGGCAGCCCCAGTACGGCGTCAGCGGTAGGATCCAGTAGTACCAAATAGCTCCCACTTCTGATCATTCTGGGACATTTCCTCTAGTGACAGCCGTTAACGTTTATCTACAGAAACCGGCCAAACTCACTAAAATGCATGCACGCGAAACTTTGCATTAAATGCTCTTAGTGAGCAGTATCGCAACCCTCAGGAATGATAGTCACGAGGGAGCAAATGTAGACACCCGAGCCCACAGCACAGCCTGGGTGCTCCGGGTGCGCGCTTCCATGGAGACCCACCCATCTGGCCACGCCAACACTGAGGTCCCCTCTCCGGTACGCCACCGCCTCAGGTCTGACCCTCGAGGGACAGACCCCCGCCCCCGCCCCGTCCGGCGCCGGCGGGAGGCTGACCACGGCCCGCTGGGCCAGGCCGTTGCTGCCCGGCGGCAGCTGGTAGTGGCGCCGGTCCCCGAACGCCGGGCCAGACCGCGCCGCGTCCCGGAACGGGCCGTAGAAGCCGCTGGCGAACTTGGCGGCGTACGAGAGCACCGAGCAGCGCGAGGCCAGGCCGGCGGAGGCCAGCGCCGACTTGATGGCCGCCACCCGGCCGTCCATCATGTCGGACGGCGCCACCACGTCAGCGCCTGGGACACGGTGACATCCAACACATACGTCAGCATTGCCATGTCAGCGCCACAGGCACCTAGCTGCCTTCATCTTATGGAGGCCCGCCGTATCGCAGAACGGCACAAAGCGTTCACCTCCGGCATGCGTGCTCACTGCTAGTGGACAGTAAACAAACCGCGTCTATCTCAATGGCTGACCACCTATCGCCTAAGGCTGCCAGACAACATGGCAGTGTGTCCGCAGGGTATGCATGACCGTGCCGAGCGGTGGACGGGAGGCCCTTACTCACCAGCGCGAGCGTAGAACAGAGCCACCTCCGCCAGGCGAGCGATACTCGGAGGGTTGTTGATGGTCTGATCCTCGTTCAGGATACCGCAGTGGCCATGAGACGTGTGCGGACAAAGGCACACCTGACGGCGGGGTCAGGGCAGCTCACGTTAACTACGGGCACACTTGGTGGTGGAGTCAGGTTAACTACGGATGGATCTGGCGGTAGAGTCAGGTTCACTACGGACAGACCTGGCGGTGGAGTCAGGTTAACTACTGATGGACCTGGCGGTGGAGTCAGGTTAATTACGGACGGACCTGGCGGTGGGATGAGGTTTACTACGGACAGACCTGGCGGTGGAGTCAGGTTCACTATGGACAGATCCGGCAGTGAGGTTAGGGTAACTACGGGCAGACCTGACGGAGGGATCAGGTCCACTATGGACAGACCTGGCGGTGCAGTCAGGCTCACTACGGACAGATCCGGCAGTGGGGTTAACTACGGACAGACCTGGCGGTGCAGTCAGGTTCACTACGGACAGATCCGGCAGTGGAGTTAACTACGGACAGACCTGGCGGTGCAGTCAGGTTCACTACGGACAGATCCGGCAGTGGGGTTAGGTTAACTACGGGCAGACCTGACGGCGGGATCAGGTCCACTATGGACAGACCTGGTGGTGGAGTCAGGTTCACTTCGGACAGATCCGGCAGTGACGTTAACTACGGGCAGATCTGACGGTGGGATCAGGTTAAGGAGGGGCAGACCTGGCGGTGGGGTCGGGGCAGCTGATCAATACATCTGGTGGCGGAGACAGGCTGTTCTGACAGACACACCTGGCGGTGGAGTCAGGTCGGCCGACGAATACACCAGTCATTGAGCACATGCTAGCGTGGGACTCGGACCCGCCCCTCAAGGTCAGAATGTTATTTTAGGGACCGGAAGTTGCCGAGAGCAGCGTACATATATACCAACTAAAGACACATCAGCAGGCATTGAAAATTTAAAAAAAACATCATGACAGCATGCAAGGTTTCAGTTATGCAACTGTATGCCATATCGAGAACAAAATCAGATTTCCGAAACGAATCACCCGAATAAAAATCGATAAATATAGTGCATGAAAACTACACAATTGCCGCAAAGTACCAGCCCATGCTATTATATTTTTATGCATGATGTGGCATCCGTAAAACAAAATTGGGGTATTTCAGGTATAAATATCCGAATTTTCGCCATTTGGATTCGTCAGAGATTAAGAATATCCCACTAATAACCAGGAATAATAAGCAAACAGAATGTATCTTTGACTTCTCATCGGTGACAACCTCCCAAAAGGAGCACAGAATCATTAGCTGGGTTGAAAATATAAGATTGTGCCACATGTGTGACAAGCTGGATTTATTTCAAAACGACAAAGATGAATTTCACGTAGTCCAAACTTTTGGGAACAGACTACCCAAGGTCTCCATGTCTTGAACGCACACATCATTTTGACCTTGCATCCCGCTTCACTCCAGTGTACACGCCACATCACTATGGCCAGTAAGGTGCCACACGTCAGCGCAGGGCGGCGGCGCCGGCCGCCGGGGCGCCGCTGACGGCTCATCGGGCCGCGCGCGCCAGGAACAGGCGCGAGGCGGCCGGCGCACCACACCGCCCGCCGACACAGCCGAGTGGCTCCATGCTGAGAGCGCCGATCTTCCGCACAGAGCTGAGTTACACAATGAAGGTGTCTGGCGAGGACAATGCCACGAAAAGGAAAAGCGGTTCCCCGAAAGGCCAAGAACGGCCAGTTTCAAACAATCGCCAGCCTTATATAATGGATCAATCATTGCATAACGATAGACCGCACAAGTAAGCCTTGTGGGAAGACTGTCGGGCGGCGGCGGTGCAGCGAGTGGGCGGGCTCGGCAACGACGGCGTTGCCACTCACATCGCAGGCGACCAGCAGCGACGGACAGCACGCCTTGATCACCCTGATGGCCTTAGCCACGGCGTTGTCTGGGTGGTCGGCTCCCGAGCCGCGCCCGTCCTGGAACGCCACCCAACCACGTGACCCTCTGAATATGGCACGGTGCCGGGTTCGGCGCAGGGTCATCAGCGGGGGTCAGCAGCCGACCTCGAATGTAGCGACATTCTCGGTAAAAACCCACCTCCCGGCTCTCAAGACACCCGCCATACTGGTCTGGCCGGCCCGCAGTCCGTTCTGGACACACCCGTCAGCTTGTGCCAAGTCGCAATGGCATGACCATGTTCGATACATATCACAGCTGACACCCATGCCCTCCCCATTGCATAACATTGGAAGTGCTAACTGCAAGGTGCCATGTACTGCAGCGTAAGGCCCGTCGAATTCCGTAGGTTGGCACACAGGGCTAGTGCAGCAATAACGTGATGACGTCGGGTTCCAGCAATACGTCACCGACGAAAACTTCGATCACATCACCCCAATCCAACTCAACACTGGAGATGACGACGGGTTTCGTGTTCCAAGACGCCCACCTTCTCGCCTCCGGGGACTCCGAACAGGAGGACAGACGACAGACCATCTGCGACGAGAGGTTTTAGAACTTCCGCGAGCTTGTTGACTCCATAGCGAGCGACTCCGGGCATGCTCGCCACCGGTTCGACGGCATTATCGTCATCCCTGTGGTCAGCATCAATTCCAATCATGAAATGGCAGAGCTCATCACTGACATTCATGACAACACTGGGATTTGGGGGACAGCTATCCATTTACATGAAACTGGCTCTGAATTTCATGATTCATGTCTTTGCTGCATCATGCAATGGAAAGTTTGACAGCATGTAACAATTTCACAATGTGTAGCCAAACCATGGGCAAAGTAAGCAAATCACAACACCAGGACAAGACTGTGGACTTTGATGTGTTACCATTCAAAGTTAAATGAAACCTTTTTCACTTTAAATGTACTTACACAATGAATAGGGGGTACATGAGGTTCTCAGAATGGATTGAAGCTTCTATCTGATGCCAGCTCCTGGCCACAGGATGATGATATCCACTATGAAGAATGTGACTGGCTGGAGTTGGATCCATGATGTCTTTTCCCTCTGCAAAACACACTTTCATATTCAGTGGATGCATGAGAGTGATGTTGCCAATGGGGCTGGGGATCATGCATCTGGAGACTGGTGTAGGCCCCCCCCCCCTCCCTGAGAAAACAATAACAATTTGCATATTGATGCAAGCTTCAGATGACATACTGTCATTAGTCCCCATGACTGCCCCACAATCTACAAAACATGGCAGTTATTCACAAGTTTGACAGAAATTTTGGGACAGACATTGATCAAATTGAACACCTTTTGTTCAACTGGGGCATGTCATTCTACCTTGGCTACAAAATGACCTAAATCTGGAGAGAAGGCATAATTTGAGGTAGGCCAAATAGACAGGCTGGGTCAGGTTCAGGAGATAAATTATGTCAACAGAAACTGACATGAGTAGACAACTTGCTGCCCATTTAAGGACAGAATTCAAGCCACAATACCCGTCAGGTCAATGAGCTTGCCATAGCATGCAGATTGTGCTGTTGCCATTGACACCACACTGACAATGGGTGCGTCCCAGGGCTATGGTCAGACACTCTTCATACTTGTGTATTCTAAATGACATCGCTGCGGGAAAACCACAATTAAACATTTTGACATCCCAACTTTTAACCTGTACTACTGAAGTACATGTTTTAGAAACAAAAACACTCATAAAATTAATTATACACATACTATTGCACATTTTGTCACTGGATATAATACAACTACCACTAAAGAGATCATGGAGATGCAAAATTTTCAGATTCCATGTTGTCCTAGCAGCACAACTTTTTACTGCTTAAAATATGTTACAAAGACCACAGGAGCAAGATCTGACTGAGACAATGGCAGAACCCATCCAAAACACAGTGCAAAAGAAAATTACACCATATAAACAAGGTCCTAACTGACATCAGGGGTGTAAAAATGGTCCCAAACTTGAAGGCCAGAAGCCATGGTTTCATTCAATTATGCCCATGTAACTGATGCCGTTCATTTCAGCTTACAGCCTGTAACCATTCATAGAAAAATTTAGGTGGAGGGCTTGTTGATACGCCATCTGCGTACCAGGGCTGTGGTGTCACAAAATAAGATTAGGCCTGAGCAGGGGAAAACTGGTAAACCTACGTCCAACGCCACAATGCCCTACATAGCGGGTTTCTACCCGGCTTCGGCCGCTTTCCTCTGAAGGTAAGGAGGCAGTCCTGAAGCCACTCCCCTTTTCCAAACAAACAGGAAGCTACGCTATTACTGCCTTCCTACCTTGGCGTTGATCTCCCGAGCCGGCAGTGGCGTATGTCCCAGGCGGCCTCAAACAACGGAATCCAGCTTGGGACGTACTGAAGGATCAGCTGTTTGGGTTCCGTGTTATATGTAGCTGAGCAGTGTTTTTTTTACTCCGTGTTTAGCTCAGCCGCGTCAGAAATGTCGTAATTTTTGAAACTTTCCAGTACTAAATTCAAAATAGCAAATAAGACAGGCCCGACTGGATTACCCCGACCCATATCACGATGGCACCATGGCTAACAAAGACAAACTGCCTGCAGTTTTTTTAATTGCCATGGCTGCAGTTTACTAATTTTTTTCAGATGAAGCTTTAATAACAAATTGAGACTATCGTTTTCGTCCAGTGTGCAGTGGCGCAAGGCAGGGGGAGGGTACAAGGGGCACGTGCCACCTCCTTAGGTAACCCCTCGAAACCAACGATTAAAGGCCACATTTCAGAGTCTGAATGGCCTATAAGGTCGCCAGAGGTCGTATTCAGGGACGTGCAGGACCGGGCACTTCAATGCCAGCAGCACCACGTAATTTGTGTTATTGATCGATCCTGACTGAATGTTGAATATTTCCAGACGAACATGGCTTGGCCATGTTAATACAAACTGTTGACCCGTTTTCGTCTTCAATCCCAAGGATGGCGTCGGCCTCGACCAACACAGGAGGTCCTCTGCCATTCAGGCTCCCGTCCACGTCCCTGTTGAGCAAATCTTACCCCGACCGACTCGCGGTCCCCTGTTGACACAGAATGCCCTGTTAGGCACTGTGGGGCCCTGTACGATACAGGAGCCCCGATGCAAATCGCGGGCACGGCCTTGTCCCTGCTTGAGAAGTGGGCCCTCAGAGCTCAGACCAACACGGAGCTGAATCGCGGGGTCCTTGCCTATCCCTGCATGGTCCAGATACAGATTCTGACAAAGTTTCTGAAATTTATCAGCTTAAAAAGAGCCCACTGGGCGATTGTAAAACGAGGAGGGCCAGCGGTTTATTCCATGCAGTCATTTAACACGCGCCCGGATGGCCGGTTAGATACCCTTCGCTCGGGTGAGGTTGGGGGGTCAATTTGACCCCTCCTGAGAACTCGGGAACTAAGAGAGCTAGAAACACCAAATTTACAGGGTACGTTGACCTGTACGTGAACTCACTTAGGTAAAAGTTTGAACTTTCTAGGTCATGACCTTCGGATCGAATAAGGTCAATAAGATCATATTCCAGGTTGGTCACGAAAGTGCCGCCAGAACGTAGGCAACTGTTTCTAAGCAAAATGCCACAAGCCCATTTGAGGTCAGTGACCTTTTTTGACCTTTTCAAGGTCATGGTGACCAAAATCATACAAGAGTGCTGTGAGTTTTATATTTGAATAAGCGACAAAGATTACGCTAGGCAGTACGTTCTTAAAACAAAATGTTGACCACGGTCATCCTAGGTTAGTGACCTGTTCTGACCTTTAAGAAGTCAATGGAAGAAGTATAATGCGGCTCCTGCTGTCAATAAATTCGAAATGAGCACCAGAAACTATTCCATACAGCAAGCGTTAGAGCAATAAATCAGGTTGGTTTTGACCTTGGTCTGACCTTCATACCTGACCTTAGGTCAATGTAATTTGCTCATTAAATATTTGTGGTGCCTAAGAAATCGTCTCAGAAATGTTTGGCTTCGTCAAACGCCGAGTTGTTGCATCAGATTGAACGATTTCCTAAAAATTGCCTCAGCTGAAACTTTGGCCTGACTTTGACCAGCCATAGGTCAGCAACCTTACAAGAAACATTTAAATGTTTTATGATAAACGATTTGTTATTCAACTGTCTACAGCTATGCAAAATTTGGCGCGGCTTCACCGCGCCGTTCGGAAACCATTCTGGAAAAGCCTTTCGGGTGGGGGGTCAATCTGACCCCCCACCCGAGCGTGTGCTAAGGCATAATTCTTTCAGTTCATTGACTATGAACTTCAGGCAGAATAAATCTCGCGATAGTGTGTAACTTCTATCCCGTAAAAAGGTTTATATATATAGGCAGGGAAAACATAGCTTCTTTGACGAATGGGCCACATCCGGCGATTTTCAGGCCCTTTATCAACCCTGTGCCCTCCCTTCTCACCAAGGTTCTGGCTGCGCGCCACGGTGAGGTACAGGGAATACGTGCCTTCCACATAGGTTCCGTGGAACCCTTTGGGTCCCTCGGGACCTACGGTTTGATTTGAGGGCCCAAAGAGTCCGAAAGGCCTACCGGTCTTATTCAGGTGACCTTGCCTGAGGGGACGGTCGGACCCTCAAATGCCTACCAGAGGGCCCTGCGCGCTGGTTCGGGGCCCTGGGTCGATAAGGGCCTTTATGTTAGTCGGACACCTCAAGTAACGCACAGTTAGCTCCGTGTCGGTATGGGCCTGACGGCCCATGTTCCAAGCAGGGAAATGTCTGGAGCCAGTGATTTACAATGGTCGAGGCTCATCATCTAGCAGGGCCGCACAGCAGCTAACATGGAGCTTTGTGTTGGCAAGGGGTCCCGAGTCGTCCAGAGTCAGTGTTCGAGGAGGCTTGAATAGCCTGGAGGACCCACTAGGACCGACGATCAAGGACCTGGCTGGAGGGCACAAGGGCCAGAACGGCTGTCTCTAGATCACATAAAAAATCGTTGCCCGTGGGGTCGGGACCTGAAATATCCCCCAAATGCCTCTTGCACAGCTGAGGACCACCTGAGACAATGCGGGCGTCTAAGTCGGCCAAGGACTGTCAATGCCGAATAATTGACTCCCAGTCAGGCTGGGCCCTGGGGGCCGCTTTCCCACGGAAGAGCAAGGCCAGGGACCACGATTTGCATTGGTCTAGGTCTCTGAAACAATGGTTAGGACCGCTGTGCCGGTCAGGGACTGGGCCCTAACGGGTGGTGATGCGTCGGCTAGTAGCCCCAAGCCAGTCACGGGCTTCATTTGAGGAGGTCCGAAGAGGAAGAAAAAGAGGGGGGGGGGGGGGTCTTCGGGACCAAAGGTGGAGGGCCCCATTGGAAGGCTGAAGCACCCGAAGGACTGTCCATAGGTCACGTTAAGGACCCTCACCCCCCCCCCCCCCCGCCTGTGAGGCAGTGATCTCAAATGGAAGTCAGCGGGCCTGTTGTATCGATCGGGGACCACTAGACCACCAACACTGAACAGTTGGCTACGTGTCGGTCTGAGCCCTGGAGTTCATGTCCCAAGAGCAAGCAAGGCCGGGTTCGCGATTTGCATTAGTCGGGTTCGCTGAAGCCATGTGGGTGTCAGTTAGAGGCCCGCAGTGTCTAACAGGGGTCCTGTATCGGCGCGTGGTCCGAGCCGCCAGAGGCCGTGTTTGCGGGGTCCGTAGAGGGGCCGGAGCAGTGTAAAAGGTACTGGGTAGACCGAAGTTCAGTATAAAAACTGCAGCATGAAGCTGTAATTACACTAGAATTACGATAAAAGTAATACTAAATATTTGGCATCCGTTTACTGAAGGTAGCGTGACGCAGGTGCAACTATTAAATGTATTTAAAATTCAAATGGGTGCTGTGCCTGAACTTTTTGAAAGAAACTGTCGAGGAATTGCACACTACATAACAATGACCGTATGTATTGGCTGATGGCAAACAACCTGACATATTCCGCAGGGAACAGGTAAAAAAGTTCTAGAACACCAAGGCTTCAAAACAACAACCTTTCCATTGCGAATCCTGCCCGCCACCGATTAAGTTACACAGATCACTGTGTTTCCCGCAAAAATCGGAAAATTCACGGCAGACCGTGCACGGAAGCGTTGACCCGGTACACCATGGGGGTTGTGTTTCTCTAGATAAAAAACTATCAAGGGGCCGGTTCAAGGCACTTTGATAATCTTTCGTTTGGCGCCAGGCGAGTCAAAATTGGCCTGATAGAATTCAACCGATAGATCTGTGAAAAGCGAGCCTTTAACAGGTCAACCCTATGGGCTAGAAGGAAAATTTCACCGTAGAGCGGTTGTGCTATCAACGTACTTCTGCGGGGGCTGGGTCGAGTAGTCCCTCGGGACCAAAGATCAAGGGCCAGATTGCACTCTGGCTCCCCCCCCCCCCCCTCCCCTCCCATTCGTGGCGCCGTGACCTGAAATATCAGAGGGCTTTTATAAGGGTTTTTATGAGGGTTATCTATCCCTACTATATACGGCCTTGACGGAGCCAAACAGTCGGCTCCGTGTCCGTATGAGCCCTTGGGACCCATCTATCAAGCAGGAACGAGGCAGAGCCGGTATTTTACAATGCTTGGGATTCCTGACAGAATGAGGGGCTCTTGTGCCGGCCAGGAGCTGTGTTTGAGGGGGTCCGAAGAGGGGCCGATGGGTCTCTGGAGGCCAAAGATCAAAGGCCCAATGGAGGGGCTGAAGGGCCTGACGGGCTAGCTGTAGGTGACATCAAGGACTCCCCCGCAGGGTCGTGAGGTCAAGTGCAAGCCGACCCTTGCACCTATTGGGGACCCTTGCAGTGTGTTTCTTTATTTCGGCTAGAGATTACCAACACCGGACAGTCAGCTCTGTGTCGATCTGAGCTCGGGGGCCATTTTCTAGGCAGGGACAAGATCGAGCCCTGCGATTTATATAGTTCGGGGTCCCTGTAATAATGCGGAACTCCTGTATCGGTCAGGGCTCACAGCGTCTAAAAGGGTGACCTGTGTCGACAAGGGGCCTCGAGTCGACCCAGAAACATTTGCTGAACTGATGCGGAGACGGGATCCCAAACGCCAGAGCGGTCTATGGAACGTGAGAACTTATGACGAGCGTTACCATTAAAACAATGGAAGGGTCTTGCGTTAGTCAGGGCCCCCAGTACCGAACCGTGGACCCTGGAACCCAAATGCAACATGGGCACGTTTAGGCGAGCTGAGTTCTATGTCCCAATTATTTGACCACCTGCGGCAATAAGAGATCCTGTTGCGTTATTGAAGATTTCTGCGTCGATTCGGGGCCAACTGCGCGAATCAGAAGGCCTCTCGTGTCAAGAAGCTGGGGGAGGGGAATGTGATATGATTCGCCGTTCACTCAAAGGGCCTCCGTACCCACCAGGGCATCCCGCCTCCATGTCGCCA